GGGTGGAGTTGGGCAGAGGCAGGCAGAGACCAGAGGCAGAGAGGGCAGAGGGCAGGAAGGAGCGAAAAGAAGGACAGGTCCTTGGAGGAAGGAAGGGCAGCATGCAAAGTGGGAGCTGGCACGTGGCAGGAGAACGGGCTAAATCTGCTAGTAAAATGTATAGGGCAACTCTCCCTCCTATCAGGGACTTCTCACAATTATGGACATTGGGATCATTGGGTTTTTGGGTTATTGGGTTATTGGGTTATTGGTTATAGGGTTATTGGGCTAATTGGGTTATTGGGTTAATTGGGTTATTGGGTTATTGGGCTCCTACTAACTGTCTAGCTGTTAAGCTCAGCCTTGACAACACCACAACTTTGGCAGATACAAGAAAAAGAGAAGAGATAGATACATTCAGATGAACAGACAAACTCTGTGGGCTCCCTTTATACAGAGTGCCAGAGAAAGTGCTTCTGTTGTGGATTGTTATTTTATTGATTTTGCCTCAATGATTTATTGCTCTTTATTTGATGCAAGGGCTCAGAGCAAGCAGGTGTAGTCAAGATGTCTTGCTCGACAGGTGCTTTTTTTGGACGTGCAGAATGCGCAGACAGATTAACATCATACTTAATGTTTTGGTCACCATCCATGGGGGTAGGGAGGTATGTTTGTTTATCATGGGTCCATGGTAGAGCTGCAAATCCTAAATAGTTGCTGTACCGATTGTAGTGTATATAGTTTACCCAACACCCCTCCACAACCCTCAACAGATGGATATACGGACACAGACATCCCTAGTTTGTCCATCCACGGGTGGCTGGTTGGTAGACAACTTACCCATCCACGACTCTACCAAGGTAGGGAGAACATGACTCCGGACCCCAGAGGAGATAATTTCATGTTCATTCCAATTCTTCACGTTTTCACACCTCCATGAAGCAGTTGTAGTTGGGCCAATGTGCCAGTGGGGCCAGTGGGTAGATTCTCAACTCTCCCGCTCTTCCAAACATCACTTTTCCTTGGCATGCCTATCCTTCCGCCTTGGCTCTAGACTTCATTATTCCTCCATTTCGATCGTTCGAATGATTCGATCCACTTTGCCACGCGGCCGGCCGGGGAGGAAAAAACGACGAGGGGGGTGGGGGGATAAAAAAGAAAGGAAAAGAAAAGAAAAAAGAAAGAAAAAAAAAAAAAAAAAAAAAAAAAAGGCTTGTGGTCCGTAGTCGATTTCCTCCACACGACTGACTACATACACACTTACCAATACGAAGAAGAAGCAAACAAAATTACAGGCCGTTCTTCAATAATGTGGCTTGCAACAATGGTCAACGCAGAGTCGACGTATCAGAGGGCCTCTCTGGAACAATAAAATTTTTCCCTGACGGCGATCTGATCTCAATTGATCTGACGGATCCGATCCGGCGCCGATAAATTCTCCAGGTGTTGGACAAAACTATAAGAGAACGATTGCGTGGAACTGCCTAGATAGGTAAAACAGAGAGACGCAACCTACCACCAAAACACAACACCCACACACCCAAAAAAGAAAAAAAAAAAAAAAAAAAAAAAAAAAAAAAAAAAAAAGAGGAGAAAGGATTTTAAAGCGCTATTGAACCTGGGAACCATTTCTTCATCCTTGTTTTAGTTTTTATCTTTCTATTTTTCCCTTTTTCCCTCTGCGGTTTGTTCCTTATTGTTAATTCCTTTAATCCTTTTCCCCTCCCCCCCGGCGCTCCTCCGTTATTTCTTTTCCTTTTCCCCTCTTCCATAGTCCTCTTCTCATCTTCTCTTCTCTCGTAGCTAACGGCTTATGACCGACAGCTATCAAAAGCCGTGCTCAGGGGGTTGACAATAAGCGCCAGCCTTGTTCTTAAAGATTATTGATTTCCATAGTCTCTCCAGTTTGACATCTAATTTATTAGGCGTTTCTCCTCCGTCGATTGGCTCGACTCCAAGATATGACTGAGAGAAAGGCAATATCGCCGCTGTGTACCACAAGATGGCTTCAACTACTCTAGCTTGTTTGTCATCCATACGTAGTCCCTCCTGGATGGTAATTGTGTATATTCATCACTTTCTTCTTCTCGGACTCCCCGTATCATGAGTGCCCATCTTCAGCAGCAGAGATGTGGTAACTGTGTCAATACACTTAGTGGCTAGCTGCCAGGGGTATACGTGGAGGAGTCCATACTTATTCTTATCTTGTTATCCAGTTATCTAGGTAACTAAACTATTATCTAGTTGATTGGATTACTAACAAGTAGTTATCCTTTCTATCCCGCCCCTCTCACATTCCCATCAATCCAAATCTCGCTGATCGTTTGCTCTTTATGGATCTGTTCTCCGCTCCGTACCATGCTCTGGCTTAGGCGCTTTGGCCAAACCCAAGGACGGGTGGGGGTGAGCTGCGATTATTTACTCATCTCCCGCAATCCAGTGTGATTGACTGGTGACCACGATATCCCTAGCTTTAGCAAATGACTGATCAAGCTGTTTCAACTTAACAAACTCCTCATACCAACCAAAGGTTTCTTCGCAGATGACATGTGGAGATTACTCAAAAAGTCAATTTTTCCTTTTCACCATACTTTAGCTAACCTTTTTGTACATGCCAATAATGTACCTGGGAGCCGCGACTCCGTACCTGCGCGCTGTATTCATCCTACGCAGGGTTTGCAGGACGCGTCACACTTGGATCAGGTAAATTTAGGTAACAGAAAACTTTTCTTTACGAAGGTTGTGATTATTCCCTGTCCTCCGGTTCATTGTTCTCCTCATGACTCGCGGGCGGATTCACTGTCCCCGTGCGCAACAGCGTGTACGAAAGAACAGCGAATGCGGGGGTACCTACCGCTGTGTCCGCTTTGTACTCGCCAGGCCCCCGGGGAGGGGGAACCCACCGAGTAGTTTACATGCACACTGTGCTGAGCGCTAGCTGCTCCCAGGCGTGCGCACAAGTAGTTTAACGGATCCATATTTTTTTTTTTTTTTACACACCCTTGTTCCGACACGGCCCGGCATGATTATTGCATAAAGCCTGCACAGGGCCTGTATCTTCCATGCAAGATTGGACGATGCAGTGCGTGCTGGTGACTCGAGTCCAGCAGAGCGTCAAAAGTGGTAGGTTGCAAATGAGGTGAGTAGCATGGGTGAGTAACTTCTCCTCTCTCATGGTCACATATTATGTTGCCCTCCCATGGCATTCCCCTCCACAATGCAGATGGTTCCAGAAAGTAGAGACCCAAGTTATATCCCTATCTTCTCTCGCACTCTTTTCCTTCGGATCACAGGAAGTTGATATCCTTGTAAATGAGAAATTGTTAACATGCCGCCACCGAGGCCATTTGCGAGCTGACAACTTGCCTGCAGCAGTGCAACTCTGCAGAGATGATATTCCGCACCATCTCAGGGTCGTGGTTGCAGCCCTCCAGGTAATTTGGAAGTAGGATAGCAAACTCGTCCTTGCCTTCCTGACCACCAATGTCCCCCCCGCCCGCCTCTCCCCCGCGAATCATGCCAAAGGACCAAGCTGCACGTTGATGATCAATCAGTCAATGGCGGCGTTGTAACTTGTTAAAAGACCAGCTGACTTAGATTTGCAGCAGCATGCTTCTCGCAGTCAAGCACTTATACGTACTTTTGCCCGGTAACAGTCTATCTGTACATAATTTCAAGTCACCCTGCCCCGGGTTTATTCGTCACACTCTTCCAACTCTCCCGCCCTTTCAACCCCTGCCCATCGCACAAGCCAAAAGGAGATGCTCTTGAGAAACCTGATTTCACTCGCATTGGCTATCTCGCCAGCGAGCCCATGTGGCCGAATACGAGCTACTCCCGCTATCAAGGGTTTAAAAAACAACCATGTGTTGATGTATGGGTGGTGGATAGAGTGGGCAGGTGGTCGTTGGATGGCGTCATGGGTGGGTGGAGAAAATTGCCGAGCCCCAAAGATCCCCATCCCATCCCGATAGAATGAAGTAAATATTCTTATGCGTTTTTACCTGTTTCTCTTGTGTTGCAGCTGCATTTCTCCTCCCCAGTTTTTGAGGACATATGGAGGGTGTATATTTTGTTTCTCGCCTTAGGCTTCTATTTGCAAGGTTGATTTGACATATCGACATATCGATACACCTATAACTAGAGCATATTCGAGAGCATCAACTAAGAACACCCACGCTCAACCAGCGGAAGCAGGGTATCCCATCTAGATATAGCTTCCTTGTCCTCAGATGTTGCTCGCACCATGGGAGTTTGCTGTCTCGTTCGCAAATCTCACCTCCTGTCCTTATCAGTCCTAGCATTGCATGGGACCCAAGAGATGGGGATAGGAGGCAGTATATTATGCATGCTAGGCATTATATGAAGATGGATGGAGTTTTAGTGATAGAGCAGAGAAATACCAACCGGCATGCGGACATCATTTGAGACAGCCTGATATGTATACATATATGGGGATGATATAGCGGAAACGTTGAATGGCATCATCGTATGTATGTACGGAGAAAAGGAGACGCAGCTATTACAATGCACAGCGTACGTACTGTGCATGTAACTGCACTTCGATAATGGCATTAATATAGTTTTTGCTCAAGCAAGCCTCACTTCTCTTTCTTCTTTAATTATCATCAGAATTGTTGTACCTGGATTGGACGAATAAGTGTGTCGGACACTTCCATCACGTGACCAGTTCTCCACCATAGTCCGTTCTCGGAGCGAGCAAAACTCTGCAATCAAACTAAGCTTCCCATTCTGTCATGATGTCCCGACAATAGAAGTACTTGATATTACCGTCTGAAAACCTTCATAAGAGAGAGGTTGCACAATAGAGATCTTTCATATAGATGTAAAAACCTAAAGAACATGCGACAATTAAGGTTACAACCACTGAGGGTATACGGCATGAAATTGGCTATATAGATATGAACATCTCAACACCAATGTAAAAGTCATACATACATTTCATCCTGTGTACAGAGTGAAACAAAGCAAACAGGAAATATACATATATTAAACAGTGAAATATACAAACAGTGGATTCTGTCGTTCTGCTGGCAACCTTTCCAGTAACTCCGAAATAAGCTTAAATATAGTTTGTTTGGTCCTAGGGTTGGGAACGGAGCATGGCGCAAACTTACTTTCCAAACTAATGGTGGTTGAAAGCTCCGTAATCGCCGAAGGCACGCATTTTATATAATAATAGTCCCGAGTAAGGGGTTTGTTTGTAAGTGGTTTGTAAGTGGGTTGAATTTTACAGCCTTGCTCATCCGGGAGCACGCTTGGGGCAAAAACTTTGATACTAGTTGCGGAGTGAGGGTTGAGAAACCCTTTTAAGGTTCGCTTCCGCCAGGAGATTAATCATCGGAACCAGAAAAGGTCAGTCAACAAGGGAAAAATAAAAATAATAAATAATAAATAAAAATAAATAAAAAAAGGTAAGAAAACGAGAAGAAAAAAAAAAAAAAAAAAAAAGGAGGGATTCATTTCGTTATACGCATGTCAATCTTTTCTTCAGATCCAGATCTAGTCACTTACCGTCATTACCTATTCTACGGGATATCTTTTCCCTCTTCTGGGGGTGAGCCTCACGCGAAACGCAAATACAAATAGATCATATCCTCTATTCCTCTCCACCTCACTCACCTAAGCGATATCCATCTCATCAAATATCAGCTCAATCTCCCCCGTAATGTCCCACCGATCACCCGGTGCTGAGCGGCTAACATACTTCACAAACTTCAACGTCCCCACATCCCGCAGTACAATGCTCATACGATTCCAGCCCGCCGCCATGTTGAAGAGGATACCATCGTCACCGTCTATGCTCGGGGCAGACTTATAGATTGCCGGGTCTGATTTTTTGGATTTCTTCACCCTTTTGCCGTCTTTATCGTCGGCGTTCTCTCCCTTCTCTTCATCTTCTTCATCATTGACGGCGCCATCATCGTCATCATCGACGGCCACGTAGATCTCATAACCGCCAAAAGAATGCTGGTCAGCCTCTGTAGCATCCCCTTCTTGGAACCCTTCTTCCTCCTTCCCGCTCATGCTTGAGCTGTCTTCATCCATATCCCCTTCCAAATCCTCTACCATATCCTCCATATCCTCTTCCCCACACTCTTCCATAACCTCATACTCATCCTCATACTCATCCTCGTCATCGCATGCCTCCTTCTCCCACCCAGTCGTGGGGGTCAGGCCAATTGTAAACTCCAGTCGTGGCGTCCTGCCTTTATACCCACTAGCTAGCGTGTAATCTTCACCGCGACGGAAACGTCGCGCGATAACATTGTAATCGGTCAGCTCGCTATATCCAGTCGCAATAGAGATCCACTTCTGAAATGCATGAGACGGCACTAAATCTTCTAACAATTCCTGAATTGGTGTTTTGGTCTCGTTACCATCTGTTCGTGGCTGCTGGTACAGATATCGATGTTTATGAGGCGGTCGACTGACTTTCCAAGACGTCTTCTGCTCGATCTCCGCCCACGAAGTGGGGAGGGCGTTGGATTCCTTTTCCTGCTCTTCAATGTATTCTCTGACGCGTTTGGCAAATTTGTCGTTAAAGAGCCGCTCTAGAATTATGAAACAGTCTGCACCGAAAGCATCAGACAGGTCCTCCGTGATATCCGGTGTGAGATAGGAGGGTGAGATATATTGAAGCAAAAAGTCCAGGTCGGCCTCTGTAAACTCATCGCTTTCCTTAACACCCGCCGGCGCACCTTCGTACGGCGTCAACTGGGCCTGTGGTCTGTCGAACACATCCCCGGAACTTTGCAGCTGCTGCAGACTGCTCCGTTCCGCCAGCTTCTCTTCCAGCCCTTCCTCATACCCATCCTCCCCCTCCTGAGGAATATGATACCAGCCACTAATAGCCATGCGCACCCTTTCTTTCCCTCCCTTATCCCCATTGGGGTCCGCATAATACACCTCCTCCACATCGTGGAAACTCTCACCAGGCTGCACCGTGAAAAAACTCAATTGATTAAAAGCCGGAGGTATTGATAGGCTGAAATCAGGGCTGGGAACTTTAATCTCCTTCCCAGACTCGTCCCTCTCAACAGTGGTCGGATATAATCGCAGCGCTCCACCCCAGCTCGGCTGCCACGCCACATCTGGATCCGTCAGGTAGAGAATATAGCTAATCCGCCGGCTCCCAATCACATCATCGTGGCACAGCAAATGACATCCACCCGTGTAGACATTGATAGCCATATCAGTCTTGATGCCGCTCAACTTTCCTGCCCCTGTTACCTCTGATAGATAGTTGCGGAATGGGGCAGAGTAAAGAGCGTCGCGCAGGTCGAGGAGCGAGGGCAGTTTGGACAGCGAGTCATCGTCTAGCCCGTCGAGGTTAGCGAGGTCGCCCGACTGGAAGATTTTGTAGATGTCTGTTACTTTTTCGGTGAAGGAGAGGTGGTCCTTGATTTCTGTGCGGACGGAGCGGAGGAGAGATGGATTTATTAGCTGAGAGATGACTCCATGTTTGTACCTATGTCAGGTTAGAATAGGATATTTTATTGGACTGTTGGAGACCAAAATCATTCGATCATCTAAAAATGAACTGTACGTACGGCGCGGAGTTTGCGTAGCTCTGCTTATACTGCTCGAGTGTAGCCTTGTCAAGCAGCCCGTCGCGGAATCGAGACTTGACAGTCTCAAAGTCCAGAACCCTCTTCTTGGAATCGGGTTGGTCATTGGCGTCCGAGCTGTTTCGTCCTAAGGTTGGTTTGCGCTTCATTGTCAACAACAATGATATTTACGGACGCAAGTAACAGGGAAGGACAACTTCAGTGGATACGAGTAGATATGGGAGTCTGGGCGATAAAAAAAATCTTTTGTGGGTGAGATCATTGAGCCTAAGGGCTGGAGGGGTAAGGCTAACTAACTAAAAACGGAAGAACAACAGCCAAATCAACCCAACCAGCTACAGTTACCCCGCAAACATGGACAGAGAACAAAAAGAATGGGGATGGAACTCAATGAATCGATTAGGTGCTGTTAATGAGCTGGCAAGTGAACATGGGCGGGATAAGCGCTAACCTCAATGGCTGCGAATACACGACAGTCGACGTTTCAGAGGCAGAAACATGCCGAAGAAGGCCGGAGAACGAGCTGTCATCATTGGCTTCATTGTGATAGCAAAACAACCTTGTATCTTATGGAGATGCTAGAGCACAACGAGGGACTTGCAAATGTGAAGAAAGTGATGTGTTTCATTCTTCAAGTGGATTTTTTGTATAGAAGCATTCATTCGGAAATGTGTTTCTGTGGATATATAAACCATAGCTCATGGATTTTCGGTTGTTTATCCTTCACACTTAGTTACATAGCTTGATCGATGGAACCGTATTTCTATTAACTACAGTATTTATATTTATGAGGTGATAACAAAAGTACGCAAACATCCATAAAATACCCCCCCCCCCCCCCCCCCGGATTTAAAAAGAGCGCGATAATTTTTGTAACGCGTTGCAATATGTATCAGTTCCATGTCGAGCTACAGTTGGATCATTCTACCGATGCCGGGAATCCTCAAGGAAGCAATCACGAATTTCCACATCTTGTAACTACCGTGTCTCAGAAGTGGTAACTGGGTTTGATCATTTCGCGAATATCAGGGATAGCACAGTGGTTGGTATCATACATCCGCTACAAGTTACTATCGGCAGCACAATCTGCGCACTTAATCAAAGAATCCTTCAAAATGCACTAAGAGAAACCATAGGGCGCTCAGGACGTGCGCCATGATGCCGAGCCAAGGAGGTATTAGAGGCGATGCAAATGGATACGGGGCATAGGGCAACTATTGCCTGTTCAAGAGAGCCCTTGGCCCAAAAAAACATAAATAAAAGATCCAACCGGACTGGACGTGTGCTCGAACTTCGCGAATAGAGAGGAACTGTCAGCGCAGGGCCCCCCGTTGACGCCAGAATCGGTTTCGATGAAAGGCGCCAAGGGAGGGGTTTTATCGACAAATACAAATTACGAAACCGCCTGATAAATCCATTTTTCTTTTTCTTTCCCTTTTCCCTTTTCTCTGCCCAGGAAAGCCGGCTGGCTTCGGGTTGCACCCACTCTGACAACACATGGTCTCCGCAGGCTCGGGGGGGAATTCTGGCACAGTGATTGGACGTATTCAGGCCGAAGACCATGGGAAGGGCCATGCTATGCTATTGAGTAATCAGGGCCAATTGTTGGCTCAGGGGGATAGGCCGCGGAAGCTGACGCGTTTTCTTGTATGCCATGCATGCGGGGCAGATCATATCACCAAAGATCCAATAGTAATAGTGGGTGAGTTTTCGCGCATTGTGTAACCCATCCTCCCTAGAGTCATGCGCATTGGATGGTTGGGCAGCGGCAGCCAATAAGGTGTGGCATGGTGTGCTGCAGCGTGTTGGTCCTGAGGAAGAAGAGTTTTTCGGGAGCTCTCGAGACATACATGAGGCTGACTTCTGCTCGGGGGTTGTCTGTAAAGTTTGTTCAGTGCCAACAGCCAATGTTAGAAAGGCAAACGAAATAGATCATCGAAACGAAAGCACGTCATAGTGCCAAAGCACTCTGGAGGCATCAATTTATTTGAAGTTTGTAATTTATGGCTGACGCTCTGGGAACTGTGTGAATTTTGCTTCAACTCTTGATGTCCAGCTTAATTTAACTCTTTGTTCCCATCCCGGCTGGATGCTGAAGGATGCTCGTGACTTATCGCGCATTGGCTGAAACAAGCCACTCGAATGGCCTTGTTTTTGTGAAGAGTGTGGTAAACTATAAAATTGTCTTCGCCGCCACTCTACCGCAGTGAGGATCCCAAAGAGAGATAGATCTTAAGGAACGGGAAGCTTCTCAACAGCAGCATGGGGTTACACTGTTGGGATGTCCACTTTGAGTAATTGGCAGACTTTTGAAAGCGTAGGACTGGGAAGTCAACTCTGAACCAAATGGGGGGGAGCAAGGCTGAAGAAAAGATAGTCTTGCTATGCACACAGTGAGTATGTGTGAACCAATGCACCCGAGCAGTGGAATGACCAGCGATCACTCACACAGCACTGGTGCTTCAGTGGAAGAAGTGCATGCAACCCAAGATTTGTCTAGCTACAAGATGAACAAAATAATAATAATAATAATAATAATAATAATAATAATAATAATAATAATAATAATAATAATAATAATAATAATAATAATAATAATAATAATAATAATAATAATAATAATAATAATAATAATAATAATAATAATAATAATAATAATAATAATAATAATAATAATAATAATAATCATCTCTAAATCACCCCCTTTTCCTGCACTTTGAACCCTGCTTAACATCTTAACATGTTGGTCCGTTTTGTCGGGCTTTCCTTGATAGCCACAGGCATAGAGCTGGAGCAGAGGATGTACCATACCAGAGCTTTTATCCTATACTAAATTTGCCGACTGGCTTCCACGAGATAATGTTGCTTCATCCTCAGAGTGCATAAACAGAGCAATCTCTCTTCCTTTACTCCAAACTGGATAAAAACGTGCAATTCAATGGAAATTGACATGTTATATTTTTCTATGCATGGTTCCCTCACCCAAGCAAAAGTCAGACTTTCTCAAGCAAATGCCTGATTAGGCATTGCAAACAAACACATTTTGTTAGTGGTGGATCAGAGTGGCTGAGAATTATCAGCGCGACAAGATGTTCCTCTGAACAACTTATTGTGAGGAGAGACTCTTCAGACTCATGACCTGTCTGATGTTAGAAGTCTGGACTTTGAAGAAAGCAGTTAACTGCAACGACTGGCAACTCAGATGCTTGCTGGGCCGTATGGACTAGATCGATTAGATTAGGGTTTCTGGATGATGACTAATTCCGGACTGTCTCTGCGAACTTAAACTAGTTAACAACTCAACTTTAACTGGTTAGTTGTTCAACTCAACTTCAGCGAATATATATGTCCATCATTGCTTGTTAGCAAGCATCACATTGACAGTAGTAACAGTGACGGTAATGGACTCGCCAAATAGCATTGCAGGGCCGGAGGAGCCTCCCCGCACCCCTCCACACCCCCCATATTCTCCAATTACCCCCGTCCTCTCCCACGCCTCCATGCCCACCCAACCTTCACCCTCACAGCAGATCATCCCGCCCCTTTCCAGCTCCTATCCTTTCTCCCTTTCTTCTACCCCCGGAAACACTCTTACGCCTATGTCCTCTAACGCGCCACCACTGCCTACGCGGACACCCATCTTTATGTCTGAACCATTACCAGTTCCCATATCAGAAAGCAGTAACCCTGACGTCATCGCCTTGCGCTCCGCCATCTCCATCCTCCAAATGCAGAAACAACAGGCACTACGCGATATAAAAACATTAGATAAACTAAAACGTGCCGCTATTGCACACCCGGAGGAGTTCGCGCGAGAGCTGGTCAATGGTAATCTTACCTCCAAGGCGGGTGACATATTCAATCCCAACGGTTTCGAAAACGAAGAAGCGGCTGCGGATGAAAACGCATTCAAAGAGCAGCGAACAACGGATCAAGAACAAACAGACCGGGGAGAATGGACTATGGACGTCGATAAACCACCGTCGTTTAGCAAAATCCCTAAACCTCAACAGGTCGTGCGCATGCCGCCTATCAACTGGGCTAAATATCATGTTGTCGGGGAATCTCTGGATAAGCTACATGAGGAACAGAGACAGCGTCCGACACCTGGTGAGCCGCAGAGAAATGTCTATGCCTCGCAAAGGGCCCCGGAGCATTTTATTGCTGCTCCATATCGCCCTTTTACTGACAGCTTGGACCCGCCTATGAAAACGCGGAGTACTAATAAGGGGAAGAAGTGATGGGATTAACTTGAGCATGAAGACTGGATATACTGACCATGCATTCATCGATAAGATCGTCGGAAGCTTGCTTGGTTTGCACTCCGTTAAACAAAAATGTGGCAGTGTGAATACACGGATACTTTTAAGATCCCTAGGCTCTGGTTTCCTCGCAATCTAGATGCATGAAAAAAATCAGGACCACTCAGCTAGGAATCATACAGCATGGCGACTACATACATCTACCTATATTCTCGTCTCGATGAAGTCGAAAACCAGCCCAAGCGCTTAGAAATTATTGGATTAGAGCGGCGTTTGCCCCGATGGATACCTGCAGCATTTCCTCCACTGGTTGGCCCTGCCTGGTAGCTTCAAGTTCAAATGAACTCTCAAATGTCACTGACCCAGACAGTCGAAATTCCTGCCTCAGAATATCTTTGGCATATATCGAATCCACTACCATTTGCACCTGATTCTCGACGCTATCGCATTCAGAGTAGTGGAGATCCATTTCTGCTGTGATCAGGTTAACTGTCTTGCGAATGTTGTCCAGCTGGTGAGAGGAAGGAAATTGTTTCCTACATAAATGATGTACTCTGGGGCAAATGAGCCCAAATTTTGGATTGCTCCTTCCATGAAGCTCTCCCATGGAATGATTTATGAAGAATAATAGCGTTGGCTTGGCTTTGCGGTCCCTTCTTGCGTTGTCGGTGTTGGGTCAGTGATAACATCGATAACCATTGACAGGGTGTGGCAGTTCAACAAAAATGTCAGAAAATTAGTCAGGTCTGTGAGGGCTCTGGCTTTCTGACGTTGTATTTGCTTTTCTTCGCGCAGTTGTTTTTCCTCCAACGCTTGAGCTTCTGCAATTTTTCGTCGATGTTGCACCGTGAGCCCACTAAGTATGGGAGATAAGAAGAGACAACGAATAAAGGATATGGAGGAGGGATACAACAACGTACCGATGTTGGCGTGTGATCATTTTTTGCCAACATCTTCAGCCTGACTGGGCATAACAGATGCTTCCTAGTCAAGGAAATGACAACTGTTTGCACAAAGAAATCGGAGTGTCAGTAATTGATCCCTCCTTTTTGACACTAAGAAAAGAGCTGCAGACGAAGATGGCTGCGGCTGAAGCATAACACACAGCTGTTAAGAAGAGAACAGAAGAAAAAGAGGAGGAGGTGGTGGTGGGTCTCTTCAACAGGGCCAATAGGGAGCGATTGCTTCTGCTCTATTTCTCCCCTATGGCTGACAAAATGGACAAAATGAGCGGAGAACTGACATGACCCCTTACCTTTTTAGCTGGGGGACAGCCTGGAAGCTCTAGATAGACATCTTCTTCTTGATGCAAAGCAGATCAAAGTTGGAGATGGATATCTTGTTGGTAGTATTAGCAAGATTCATTAAGGTTCGTTTGTTGTTGAATACCTTTGTGAGCCTTGGGTATAGGTTTCCTTGTGGATAATGGTGCTTGGTAGATGAAAACTAAAAACAGGAGGTGAATCAGGGACAGATAAGCTGAAGATAGCAGAAGAGCTGACTTGAATGAGGGAAATTGATGGATCAGAATAAGTGAGCAAGGAGGGTTAGTAGTGTTGATGAGATGGAAAAGGAAGAGAGAAAGCTCTTCTTTGTGAGAAAAGTCAGCCAGAAAGAAAGGCCTGGTATTCATCACAGATGTGAATGCTTGGGCAAAAATCCTGTTAACGCTTCACCCATTCTTGAGCTTTAAGTCAATAGTTAGCATCTAGACCCCTGAGGTGAACAAGGGGCAAACAGGCACCTTATTTCAGATGTCCATTCCTCGATATTCACTTCCACTGCCTTTCCCAAAAGTCTGCCCACAGATTCCTAATAAGAGGCATTCTGAGTTTCTCGGTCATCTCATGTAAACTGCAGGACAATAAATTCTTTAAATATCCCATCGATATAGCACGGAGTGCCAATGGGAGAGTACTTTCCAGCAGATTACAGAGGGGGTGAAAAGGGACCTTATACAGCGCATGTTTTTTGAATGAATGTGTGTAAAGAACAGCTATGTTACCTTAGAAAGCATAGATATTCGCAAAACAAATAACAGGAATAAGATGCTTAAATTGCAGTCAAAAACTGCCACATGCAAATCAAATTGCTCCCAAGAACCGTAGCTATGGGACTACGGAAAAGGGGTTAACAGTGAGACCCTGAACTCCCGTCTCCTTCCAAGCTTCCCTGCTAGCAAGATACATGACAAGGACTTAAATAGGAAAAGAATGAGAAATAGCACAGTAAAATCCATATAAACGTATCTCCCATAAGTCAAACTCCTATTAATTCCCCTTTTAAAAATTCCGATGGTGAAACAATTTGAAAGGAAAAAAAAAAAAAAAAATCGCGAACCGCTTAAATCGTAAACCCGTCGCTCCAGTACCCCTACCCATCGCGCCTTTCCCCAAGCGAAACTTTCTTCAGCTCCAACGCCTGCTGAAGACTCTGTACACGCTTGCCCAGCTTCGACTTCAGAATCGGATTCGCCATACTCTCCCACTTTAGCGTCTCAGTCTGTACCAGCAGCTCCAGTTCAGCAATCTCCTCCCGCTGCTGCTGTAGTTGCCGTTGCTGCTCCAACGCATCTTCATCGAGGTCTGCATCGTCCGCCTCGTCGCCCGACGATCCCTCTTCGCTTTCATCTTCATCGTCATCCCCGGACGTTTCACCCGCAGTTAGGGGTTTGATAATGGGTGTTCCCACCTCAAGCTCACCCTCTGCTTCTCCCTCAGCTTCCGTGGCAATGGGTGTGGCCGGAGATGTGTCGGACACATGAATTTCACCAGTAACAGCAGAAGCAGGGGCTGAGTCTCCATCCGCATGAGCGGCCAGCGCCGCCTCCATCTCAGCTGCAAGTTCATCTTCGAATTCATCAACACCTTCTTCCTGTGCAGAAGGTTGAGTGTAGCCATCCATGCCGTAGTCATCCACTTCCCCTTCAGCATCCTGCTCATCATCATATTCTTGTCCAGCCAGATTGTACCTTGCACCATCTTCACTCATAGCACTAGACTCCCGCATGTACTGCGCATAATCCAGGATCTCGAATTCCGGCGGACTTTCAGCCGCCATGTCTTTCCTTAGTAAACGTGCAACTTCCAACTCAACTGCCTCGATAGTGCGGTTGCTAATCCGCTTGCGGAACCGTCTCTTGCGCACCCATCGAAGTGGCGGGGTGAGTCCATGGGCATACTGATAGCTAGACTCGTCGATGTTTTTGGGTAGTGGGAAGGTATGTGCTTCTTCTTCCGAGTTGACACGGCCAAGCACAAGCAGCATCTGGCAGATATCTGCAGATTTATACCAGCCGCGTTTATCCCAGCTCTTCATGCCCTCGATAATGCATGGTAGATCAACGAGGGAAGCGGCGTATATGCGTCCACGAATGTTGATAACGGCGCGCCGTCCATCTTTAGTCAGTGATTTGAAGCTCACATCGGCGCCACCCTGACTGCGAGGCCCCCACCTCTTCTCCGTCACGGCCTGGCGGAGGTATTCACAGTCATCGCCCGGCTGCATACGGAGGATAAATTGTTCTTCCAGGGCCGGATCCTTTTCTGTGTCTGAAGCTTCAGAGTCATAGCCCACACCTTTCGGTCGAAAAGGAGGTTCTCCTTTGCTTCGTAGACGGATAGATGGCGGAGGTTTGGTGCTGAACTTGATGCGCTTTATCGCGGGGGTTTTTGCAGATGAGCTTCCCTTGTTTTTGGACGCTGGAGCTGGGGAACCGATGCCAGCATCGTTACCGGTTCTGTCTCTGGCTCGTTTCTTTGAAGAACTTGAGCGTGGGGTCTCTTGTGATGCCTTAGGTCGGGAAGCCTTAGGCTTTTTGGAGGATTTGGAGGATTTGGAGGATGAACCAGGCGGGGAGGATTGTTGTTCATCTGCGCTGGGCTTTGGGCCGATTTTGAATTTGAGCTTAGGAAGTGAGGAGCCCCCGGGGGTGGTAGGAGAAGGAGGAGAAACGGCCTTAGCAACTTGGTCAACCTTCGTTTTACTGAAGGTCAGCTTAAGCATCGGTCGAGAAGACATGGCGAGGGGCGTTAGGACGCTCGCCCTGCGCCCTTGCACGGAGGTGACGCTTTGTGCAGCAGCACTGTAGATAGATGACACGGTGATGTTCGCAAACAGAGTGAGAAAAGCCAGAGAGTATATATGAATTATTAGGAAGACGTATGTGAGTTGTCAATCAATAATGTATTTATTCAATAGATGTTGAGATGTTGATTTGGACAGCCCTAGGTTGATGACTAAGTCAGGAAATGAAAACGTGTGGCTCGGCACATTTGCGTTGTTGTCAAACACCTTCACTGGGCAAACCCACACATCAAACACTCAACTCCTCGATTCATTCATTCATTTGAATTGACCTGGATTGGAATGAAATTGAATGAAATAGAGAGAATCTCAATCTCTCAATCGGGGAGTGAGTCAGCCATATATAGTTGTTACTGCTGCTGGGAATAGTGATAAATAGCAGCGGAGTGTGAATGTGCGAATCTGCTTCCTCACAGACCTGCCTGCAAATGTCAGTCCCCCACTACTCTCGACCTTCTTAGATCCCCTCATTATCCCGTCCAATCCTCTCCAGCATACAGACACAGGTACAGACATAGACTCCATACGCATACACATCAGAATCCGTATCCTATGGGAGAAACATGTCGGCCCCTAACCTCTATCACACCCTGTTACGGCCCCCAGTTATTCAGATCCTCCGGGCTGCAGGCTTCCACTCAGCTAGCCCCGCCGTCATCGACACTCTCACGGATCTCGCCGCACGATATCTGATGCTCCTGGTCTCGTTCACCGCTGGTCACGCCAACAGCAGCCATGACAGAATCCCCATTCCAAACCTCCACGACGTCATCATGGCGCTGCAGGACGCTGGCGCCCTGAGACCCCAAATGAGTATCTCCGAAGAACTTCTCAGAGGGGAAGAAGATATGAGAGGCCTCGACTCGTTTATGGCTTGGTTTAGTGGTCCTGCCAACAAGGAAATTAGGCGGGTGGCTGGATTCGTGGCCAGCGAAGGAGATGTGGTTGACGAGGATTCTCTGGAGAAGGAGGATTACTTAACATGTATGTGTTTTTTTTATTTTTTAAGTTTCTCTGTCTGGATGCCTTCTGAGACCTTTTGCGGCTAATGTATTTGGGCATGACAGCGTTAAAGAAGAAGCACAGCAAAACGGGCGAGGAATCGCGGTACCAGGGCACCGTCCTGGGGAAAAGCAGAGAGATCCATCCGATCATCATTGAGGGTGGAGCTCAAAGCATAAAGGCGTGGGGTATGGAGATACGATTGAGAGAAGCGAGCGCCGAGTCTGTATCATCAATCATGAGCAGTGCCCCGAGCAGCCTGTCAGATGTGGTGGATATGGAGACATGAATAGCACGCATATTCAGGTTCATATACACATACTTAGTTGCGAGTCGATACCGATATCCGTGCATGTTTTGCCAACGCTTACGGGAACGGTCTACTCGTGTCCTTGCTTGTGAAGTTTGGCCCGGTCGGCAGGGTATTTCCAAAATTGGTCTTTGGATCGCAAACGCTATTACTTCAAAGCCATTTTATCTCCATAACGAGCATCAACAAAAATATCAAAGTGGCCTTTCCATCAATGTGGGGGAGATGAAGGTGTTTTACCAATTCTTCCGGAAAAATACTATGAAACTATGATCATCACCGATTCAAAGGCCGCAAACCAAACACCGGGGTGGAACGATGTCACGAAGTAAATGATAACAGAATTCATTCCACGACTCGAAAAGGTATCAGGTAACTGAACTCTAGTCGAAGATCCCACTTACTCTTCGCTCGTCCGCTCCCACCCCGAACATGATGGCATTCGATTGCCGCAGCCGGAAGCAAGTCGAGGAATAGTTTTAGAAGGGTTAATTTGGTGCATAAGTGCAAGAGGGAAATGGGATGTTCATTAAAGACGATAGCACTTTTTTTCCAACAATTTGGATCATGCAGACCTAGGTGAAGTCTGGTTGAGGGTGTCCAGGGTTGAGAGCTGTAATACTCTAAATTTTTACAGTATTTATAAAAACCAAGTAGTTACAAGCGCATAGTCGTACATCTACGATCAACCAATTCTTGAAAAAAAGAGAATATATTTTTGTGCCTAGCATTCTACATTGTTTCTGCGATTTATGAATTCCGGCTGAATTATTTTCATCGTTCCGTTGCGTTGATCAAAATATTTAGGCTCTCCTTGTTCCGCCTTCCCCGGAGAACGTTCAAGGGCGCGCCGCATCCCACGTCTATCTCAACATCCAAACAATTGTTTTTTCTATAAATCTCTTTGCTGCAAAGCTCACTTCTATTAAACAGGTACCATACCATCTTGCACCTTACTAAAGACATGGTCTACTCCTTTTCCCTCCCCACTACCTCCCACCTATCCTTCCAATCCTTTCTCTCCTCCCCAACCCACCCCTCCCTCCCCCAATCCGCCTCCACAGCCCGCCACGCTCTCCGCCTCACCTTAAAAAAACACAAATGTCTCTCTCCGTCCCAACGATCAGATCACCTACAAACCATTCTCTCTGCTCTAAATGAGTATATCCCCTTCCTTTTCGCCCTCTCGCGAGGTCTCAGCTCCGCCCCTCCTGCCAATGGAGCAGAGGACATCGATATCCATCTCCGCTCGGAAATCGAGGTCGAATGGCGCGCCACACTTTCTTCCAGCTCCTCTTTATTCCGTCTGCGACGCGGTGATGTAGGTGTAGGACGCCACTCGTCTCGCGTCCATGGACGTGGACTCGATTTCGAAATCGCCTTCATCCTCTCCACGCTGGGGTGTGTGCTATCAAACCTGGGCCGGAGCAGTTATCTGAAAACGCTGTATGCGAACAAGATGCCGTCGGCGGAGCAGAAGACCGCTGCTGTACAAGTAGCTACCAAGTACCTGCTCCATGCCAGCAGCGTGCATGCGTTTCTAGCTTCCTCGTCTTCATTCGCCGGGTTATGTGCGGCTCCAACCCCGCAAGCTGGGATGTTTGCCAAGTCCGCATTCACTTCTCCTTCTACTTCTACTTCTACATCACCAGCTGGGACTTCAAATCCACCAGTACCCATTCCGGACCTTGATCCGTCGACCCAATCCGCCCTGTCAACCCTCGCCCTCGCCGAAGCTACCCTCCTCGCCGTCGTCAAAGATGACGCCTACCTCTCTGCCTGCATCCAGGCACGCAACTCCCTAGACACAGACTGGATGGTCAAGGCGCCTGATATCCCCAAAGTGCGAACCTTGCTTTTTGCCCGTCTCTGTGTGCGCGCAGCAGAGTATGCTGAGCAGGCTGTTGCCAGCGCCGGCGCCGTGGGTGGTAACCGGAATGAGGCCAAGGTCGACGAAGGGTTGCTAAATTACATGCGCAGTCTGGCGAGGGTATGTCGTGCGAAGGCTTGTCGTTTTTTTGGCGTCGATGCGGAGATAAAGGGGAAGACTGGGGAGGGGATTGCCTGGTTAAGGGCTGGGAGGGGGATATTAGGGTTTAGGGGGGATTTGCAGGGGGAGGAAGATTCTGATGGCAAAGGGAAAGGAAAAGGGGGTTTTGGCGGGGGGTTCTTGAAGTTGAGAAGGGGGTGGGAGGAGAGGAAGGAGGAGAGGAGGATTGAGAAGGAAGCTGCATCGTCTCGTGGGGGCGAGATGGAGCGTGAAGCGGAGATGGATTGGGGTGATGATGCGGGGAGGGAAGAGGAGGGGAGGGTACTGGATATGTTGGAGGCGAAGTGGGTGAAGATGAATGATACTGTATGTTAATTTCTTTTTGAAAATATTTGCATTAGAATTGCTGCTGACTTTATATCTAGGTAAATACCCAGCTGATTCCCCCGTCATCGTCATATCTCGCAAGCCTCCCGTCGGGCAGGGATATTCACTCCAACCCTGCCGCCTACTCGCCTCCGCAGCTTGATACGGGACAGCTAGTGCGCATGCGAGTGCCTCCTGATACTCCCGATTCTCTGGATGATCTCGATAGCAGTGGTGAAGAAGCTGATAGGGCAGAACCTGTGCGTGCGGGATATTTCTAGGGTGAGGTGTATAAGAGTTAACCTGAGCAATAGGCATAGCATGCTGGAGAGGTGTGAAGTCATTTGAGTAGTTCAGATATTTAGTTACGTTGAAATTAAATTATACCCTCAACGTTTTATCACAATTGCCAGCAATGGAAAGCGATAATGTCTTTTAAGCTTTTTGAATTTTTTTATTTTTCATATATACAGTACAGATATTTTTATGGCAGCAATGCATGTTCGCTTGGTCTAGCTGACATTAATATTCATTTCAACCAGGTCTAGAAAGCAAAACCACCACCAAACTAACCAACCAGGGGGTAATGCAGTTGTATGTGACCAGCAAACACGCGAGGGAAACACGATCCTAACACATTTAGCCTTGACAAGACAGACGGAGAAGAGTGCGATGGTTCCTGCAAGCAGAGAGCACAAAAACAGTCCCCGCTCATAGAGAGCCACATCATATAACCAAATCCCGCCACTACTCTCTCCGTGTATCCTAGCCATCATCCAGTCTAGAAATGAGCACTTCCCTCCATCTCTGGTTCTCGTCTCCAGGCACAAGTTGACATTCTCTAGCGCAACCAGCATCTCAACAGTGGCCATGTGGTCGTTCGTCTAAACAGCTCCCCTTTAGCCCCCTACTCTCCACTACCACCTCACGAAGTTGACGACGCATTCTTCGACACGTAATTCTTCTCTTGGAACAAATAGCCCTTAATCTTCGCTTCCTTGAGTAGCTCGAAGTATCGATCTGTAAAAATTATCGCGACCAACAACACATTAGTTTCCATCCATTATAAAAATGAAAGAGAAAAAAACACCCACCCCTCAGGGCCCCACACTTCTCCAAATGATTCACCCCTTCACGCCGATAACACTTCCCCAATTCCTCCCCGACAAGCCGCGCCATCATGCTGCGCACCCACTGCTCGCGAATAATTGCATCGCGCACGTTATGTAAGGCGACAGTATCCTCAAAGTCGACACCGTCGTAACTTGGGGGCACTGTGGGCTTTTTGGCGAGGAAGGCGGCGGATTCCGGGGTCGGCATTACTGCTTGCTGTTGCTCTCTGTTATGTCGCGCTCTTTTAGTGGTTTGCAGTTTGCAGGTGTCAAATTTGGTGGTGTGTATTAGGAGAGAGCTTGTGGATAAATAATTAACAAAATATTTTTATCTTGTTATATCTTTATGTCTGGATTATTGGCTAGGGGAGCAATTGGCGCTGGTATATTTAGCCTGCTGATTGATTGAATGGACTCCTAAAAGTTAGAGATGAAGTTGCATGTTTGATTTGATCTGGATGACCGGTAGGGTTAGGGTTAGCCGCTGTGATTTGGCGGAGAAATGAAATTGCATATCTCATCACGTGATAATTAAATACTGCCGGGGTAGAAAATGATGGAGAACCACTAAATACAGACTTATTATATGCTGGTTCTCTTTAGCTGAGAACTGCAGACACGCAAAATTACTTGGATGGCTATGCACTATACGTATAAATTCCGTAAAAGGTATCTAGGTATGAAGTCACTACCAGGAGACAAATGCCCGGTCAGCTCCCGCAGGCATCTAACCAGCTGCTAATTCGTCGAAGGCTCAACCGGGTGAGAAAAATCTGCTAGGGATGTATGCTGGGATGAGATATAAAGAAAGAAACTGAACCCAAAACAGTGTCATCGGATGGTAATAAAAGAATAAATCCGTCACTAAAAAGAGATGAATTGACATGAAAAAACAACCGGAGAAGAAAAGGTAAAGAACTCAACAAGAAGTCTGATAATACAGTAGTATATAATGGAAAACAAAGCTCCTTGATGCATGAACATGAAAAGGGAAAAGATGTGACCCTGGCGCAAGGCTCAAGATCAAGTCAAGCCAAAAATATATAACAAGCAAGAAAGCCAGGCAGAGAGGAATAGAGCAACAAGAAGT